CTGCCTTCCAATCCTCTGGAATGCGATCAAGTCTGCGTACAACGGGGAGCCACTACCCGCTGCCACTGAATTAGCCGACGTTGTTCACCACCGGCTAGGGAATGAGCATCCTCGCAGTATATCATTTTGGAGTGACTACCTCCGCGGGGCTTCCCCCACTGCTCTCGATCCACTGTGTATTACGTCGCTATCCGATCCATCTGGAGACACTATGTCGCCTACTACCGCCCGGAGAGAGATACGCCGGCCAGTGCCTATGGCCGGAGCAACGGTCGCGACGCTGATCAAGGCAGCTTTAGCGTGGCTTTTTGCACGATACCAATTGCAATACGATATAATCCTTGGCCAGGTTGTCCATGGGCGCGGGTCTGACCTTCCGAACATTGACAAGGTCTTTGGACCGTGCCTCACATTCCTACCAATCCGCGTGACTATCGATCCTAGCTGGACGGTATCCGATCTCTTGCGCCACACTCAAGCCCAGCAAGTTGCAACAGTGCCACACGATACAGTAGCCCTCCGGGATATCGTTCGGCAATGCACTGACTGGCCTGAAAATGCCAAGTTCGGATGCCTTGTGCATCATCAACCCCTTCAATCCGCAAATCAGCCGCTGGAGCTAGGCGGCCTGAGTTCATATTCGAATATCACCTGGGCCAGCTCTCGGCCGCCGGCTGGCCAGATCGATGTGATCTCGATTGAGCGCCACGACTCTCTTGATCTGGTCATCGCGAGTCCTGCAAATGTCCTCGATCAGACTCGCGTCGAGTGGATGGCGGATCGGTTATCAGATGCCATTGAGCTCTTCTGCCAGTTTCCTGATAGTCACTTGACTGAGATTGAACCGGACAGGGTAGACTCCATGAATGTGAGCATGGAGTTGCCTCCGTCGCTTCCTAGTCTATTGTCATCAGCAGAGTGAGGATAATAGCAGGACTGGAAACGTAATTAAGGATGCCAAGACAAATGTCGTGGTCATGTTCAAGAAGTACTTTGAAGTTTGGCTCATTGACTCATTGTGGAAATATCAAAACCTACTAGTGTTGTGGGGATTATAGCAATTGGCAGGTGTGTATGGACTCAGAGATAACTTCGACGCGGACTTACCGCCAGCACAGTAATGTATAATTAGTACTAGTTATATTTTGTCTGCACTATATGTACAATCGGATGAATTCAAAATTTTCGAAGCAATTTATACTTTTCTGCTTTACAGCCGTGGCAAACTATTGCGGCTAGCTACTATGTGTAGACATGTATATTAATCCAATACCCCCTATGATGCACACTATGTGCAAATGGGCCTCTGCCTTTTCTCGGAATGGCCCTCAACCAGGGAGAGTAACTCTATATGCATAAATTCTAACTTCCAGACGTGGGGACTCATCTTCGAGAAGCAGTGCTATGGTTTAATCTCGTGAGGATGAACGAGTTGAAGTCCTGCATCTATGCCAAGCAGCTCAGTCTTATATTGCCTAGCCTACGGTCTAGCTGCTTTTGTTATACATGATCTACCTGACTAGTGGCAGATTAGTGTTTCAGTTCTTTGACACGGTCCAGCTTCTATGGTCAACATGTGAAGCTTCCAATCCATCAGCGCTCTGATCGCCACGCCCGGACACCTCGAGCTGTACCTATGCCAAAGGTGCATGTGACGACGACCACCGAGGCAAATATGGAGTGTTGAGGGCCATGATTCTGGATAACACATGGAATTTAAGATATTTATGTCATTGACTTAGGGTTGGGTTCAACCAAGGTCGTCAACTGTTTCGAATGTTCCTAGGGCTGACTCAGGCAACATGCCACCCGTTCCCAACAATTTAGCCCCAACGTCTTCTATGACAACATTTGGTAGAGATTCCCTCACTTTATTTCTTTATGGATTAATTGTTGAGCGAACATTTGAATGGAACTTGAATCATACCACTTGAAATATGTAGATTGTATTCATATACATAGTAGCCAACTGCTGGTGTCGGATTACACTCTCGCTGAGTATAACTTCGTTCTTCGCTCATGGTATTATAGACCATCATACGATATTATAGGCTATCATACATGACCTCGAATGCCAAAGAGCCCAAGATGGCGCTCGACGCAAAATCACCAGCAGCGACTCCTCTAAACGATGGCACTACAGACTACGTCCCTCTGAGAAAAAAGTACAACTCCAAAGAGCCGCACATCACTGAACAACCCATCACTTGGGCCAACTGGTATAAGCATATCAACTGGTTGAACTGTTTTTTATCCTCTTCATTCCCTTCCTTGGCTGTGTCGGGGCATACTGGACACCTCTTCAGCTCTATACGGGCATCTTCACCGTTGTATACTACTTCAACGCAGCCCTTGGCATCACGGCCGGTATGATTCCCTTCCCTCGAGCTCCCATCTATTGTCTGACTAGTGATAGGATACCACCGCTTCTGGGCCCACAGGTGCTACAAGGCCACTCTCCCATTAAGGATCTACCTAGCCGCCGCAGGAGCCGGTGCAGGACAAGGCTCGATCCGATGGTGGTCGCGAGGCCACCGTTCCCACCACCGGTACACCGATACAGAGAAGGACCCATACTCGGCCCAAAAGGGCTTCTGGTATTCGCATATCGGTTGGATGGTGCTGAAGCAGAACCCGAAGCGAATCGGTCGCACAGACGTCACAGATCTCGACGCCGATGTCGTCGTCGTGTGGCAGCATACCAACTATATCAAGTCGGCTCTGTTCATGTGTCTCGTGTTCCCGACTTTGGTCTGTGGCCTGGGCTGGGGCGACTGGCTTGGTGGATTCGTCTACGGTGGCATCCTGCGCGTGTTCTTCATTCAACAGGCCACCTTCTGCGTCAATTCGCTTGCCCATTGGATCGGCGAACAGCCCTTCGATGATCGCAATTCCCCCAGAGACCACGTTATAACCGCCTTCGTGACTCTCGGTGAGGGTTACCATAACTTCCATCACGAGTTCCCGTCGGACTACCGTAACGCCATCCAGTGGTGGCAGTACGACCCCACAAAATGGTCCATCTGGGTCTGGAAGCAGCTCGGCCTCGCCTACGACCTCAAACAGTTCCGCCAGAATGAAATCGAGAAAGGTCGCATCCAACAGCTGCAGAAGAAGCTCGATCAAAAGCGCTCTACTCTCGACTGGGGCATTCCCCTTGACCAGCTCCCCGTCATGGATTGGGATGATTTCGTCACCGAAGCCAAGAATGGTAGGGCCCTTGTTACTATCGGAGGCGTAATTCATGATATCACGAGTTTTATCAAGGAGCATCCCGGCGGCAAGGCATTCATCTCGTCCGCCGTTGGCAAAGACGCTACTGCTATCTTCAACGGCGGTGTCTATAACCATTCCAATGCCGCTCATAACTTGCTGTCTACCATGCGAGTCGCGGTTCTTCGTGGCGGATGCGAGGTAGAAATCTGGAAGCGTTCCTTGCCGGATGGTAAGTCGCCGATGTTGACGGATTCGACGGGGCAGCGCATCGTGAGGGCTGGAGATCAGGTTACCAGGACTGCGCAACCAGTGCCTATGCTGAGTGCTGAGGCCAGATAAGACACGAGTTTTGTTTCTTTTTTCCAATTCTGAGAATGCTGCATCAATAGTATGACTGATAAATTTTATACCCTACTCCATTGCAAATACATATATTCCACGTATGTGCTTGTATCGTCTAAATCTGGACGACCTACTTCGTACTCTTTGTAGAGAACCGGGTCAGAAGCAATTAGGAGGATAAATTGTGTGCCAAGGCCAAGCATGAAAGGGAAAATAGTCCGGGGTATTTGAACAGCGTAACCAGTGAAGCATGCCCCATAATTTAGTGGATACCAGCCAGCAGACCGTCTATCAAAGAGGTTCGCCGGGGCTGACGGTGGATTGGTATTTACCGAATGACCTACCTAGTGCCGAGCAATGATTACCACCAATATGCTCCGTAGTCGTTGTCGAGCTGGCTAGTACTCCAAGGGATCCACCAGTGGTAACTGGTTTAATTTAGCACTGTTACCTCGCACGGCCGTTCCTCTCCGGAAAATCGCCGAACATCTGGTTTTTGGTCACGTAGGGCCCATTTTAGCGCTCTCGGAAATGACGGTGGGGCTTGAGCTTGGGTATAGATATCGGATGTCCACGGAGGTCCCTCCAAATCCCTGCTTCAGCGCTCTAAATTAGTGCGTACACTCGAACTAGTTCAAAGCGTTGCCTGACTAGGTAACTGTTAGGGTCTTAAATTTGTTTCCTGTTGGTATTTCCTAAGCGAAAACAATACTAGTAACCACTATCGCACTAGACGCTATGGTCCAGTTCCAATGCTACACTGCTAGTGCTAGAGACGACATAAGTGCCTTCTAGCATCGGGTTAATGACTAGAATGAGTCGGGCAATACACTTGTAATCGCTATGCTCGTGCAGTAGCAAACCCTATGAACCACTCATGGGGTGGTCCTGAGAATCGTTCCATTCTTAGGGCTCCATCGACCTGGCCCGCCAATCGTCGGCTAAGCTTTCTTGCCAAGTAGTGAGTTCCTTTGCTCATTAATGCGCCGATTCAATATTTGACAGGTCGCCCCCATGTTACATCCACTAAATTGCTTGCTCGTTGTGGCACTACTCAGTGACTCATATACCATAGTACACATTAGTTATGTATCATTGCAGTACTTAGCCGAAATTGTAGTCTCCTGGTCCAGTCGATGGTCTCCTCAACCTCAATAGTGGAGAAAACTGCCCTTAGGCACATCCTCTCGCATTAGGAGCCGACTAGCATGAATGAGGCAGGACCATAGTGCAGTCCGACGATGGTATCTTTTGATGCAGGGGCGCTTCAACTCTAGCGTTGCCTACCTCCACCCAATTCACACCTCCTCGAGTTCTTTTAAGTCTTCTTCGTCCCTGTGGCATGGGCTGTGTTGTGTGAGGTATTTCCACTCGTTTTCTGTCGTCCCGACGGAGCTTCTGCGTTTATTGTCCCTCTTTAGTATTGCTTGTAATATAAAGAAGGCTTTATATCGAGTTCGCTTATACTCACTTAAAATGAGATTTTCCACGCTGACGGGTGTCTCCTTGATGTCGGGGTCCGCCTTGGCCAGTATCCCACATATCGAGATCAAGGCAAGCCCAATGATGCCCATCCAGATACATGCTTTACTAACCATACTACTGGACAGGGCTCCAAGTTTTTCTACTCCAACAACGGAACTGAATTGTGAGGGCCACTTTCCTTCTGTAGGCATTCAAACACTGACACAGCAGCCTAGTTACATCCGAGGTGTGGCCTATCAGGGTATGTTTACCATCATATCTTGCTGCAATCACTTTCGATCTAATTCATGTTTGTAGAGGATTACACTGGTGGCGGAGCTGGTGGAAATGGTCAATCCAGCAACCGCTACGTCGACCCTTTGGCGGATGCGTCCAAATGCGAGCGTGATATCCCCTATCTTCAGCAATTGCGGACGAACGTCATCCGGACCTACGCAGTCGACCCGAGCCAGAACCACGACGACTGCATGCAAAAGCTGGCCGATGCAGGAATCTATGTCATCACCGATCTAGCGTCCCCCGATGAATCTATCACGTCCGATTCCCCCGAGTGGACAGTCGACCAGTACACTCGCTACACTAGTGTCATTGATGCATTGCACCAGTATGATAATGTCATTGGTTTCTTCGCCGGAAACGAGGTAGTCAACAGGGCAAACGAGTCCACCGGCGCTGCCTTCGTCAAAGCTGCTGCAAGAGATATGAAAGCCTATATCAAGGACCAGGGGTACCGGGAATCTCTCGGTATCGGATATGCGACCACCGACAATCCAGACATTCGTGTGCCGATCTCTGATTACCTCAACTGCGGCGACAAGTCTGAGTCCGTCGATTTCTTCGGCTACAATATCTATGAGTGGTGCGGCGATAAAACCTTCCAAACCTCGGGATATGAAAACCGAACGAATGAATACAAAGACTATTCCATTCCTATCTTCTTCTCTGAATATGGATGCAACGATGAGAAGCCCCGCAAGTTCAGCGATGTCCCTGTGCTCTTCGGTCCCCAGATGGAGGATGTCTGGAGCGGCGGTATCGTCTACATGTACTTCGAAACTGAAAACGACTACGGTTTAGTCTCAGTCGATGGCAAGTCTATCAAGACTGAAGCAGACTTTGGATCCTACTCCAAGCAAATCCAGTCTGCCACACCCACCGGCATCAACAGCGCCAGCTACTCCCCCACCAACTCCCCCCGCGCCTGTCCCACCGTCGATGACATGTGGCTCGCCAAGTCGAGCCCCCTTCCCCCATCTCCTAACAAGGACCTCTGCTCCTGTATGGTGTCCAGCCTGTCCTGTGTTGTCAGTGACTCCGTCAAGGCAGAACAATACGGCGAGCTCTTCGGTCAAGTCTGCGGGTATGGCCAGGGTATCTGTGACGGCATCTCTCACAACGCTACGACTGGTGACTATGGTTCCTACAGCGTCTGTTCGAGCAAGGACCAGTTGTCCTTCGTCCTTGATCAGTATTATAAAGACCAGGGTAAGCGCAAGTCTGCCTGTGATTTCGACGGTGCAGCGTCGATCCAGTCTGCCAAGGATTTGTCTGGCACCTGCAAGTCTTTGGTCAGCCAGGCGGGGTCAGCGGGCACAGGAAAGGTGACTTCTCGTCCTACCGGTGATGGCAGCGCAGCTAGTACCTCTACTTCTGAGGGCGCAGCTGCTGGTGTTGTGAGCCCTGTTGCTGTTCGGGTGAGTGGTTGGTTCGGTGTGGCGTACTTTGTTGCGGCTGCGGTGGCTGGTTTCCTGATGGTCTCTCTGTAGACTCAATGTACTTGAACATATCTTGTGTATGCTATAGGGTATATAGCTTTAAGATGAAGGACAATTGTTGGCTTCACCTTGCTGCGAAACAGGCTTTGTCTATTAGCTATAGTATTCTTTGTTATATAGCACATTCTTATTACAAACGGTGTATACTAGGGATCACAACTCGAACACCACAGAAGGCAGTCATCAGAACCTGATCTACATAAGAGAGCGATATACCGTAAATGTCAGGCACCTGCTCAGGTCACCTGCGGTCACCTGCTAAGCAAACCTACCGCCCCCGAGTTCGATGTGTTACTCGTATACTCCTTTTAAACAAACACTCAGTCGAACAATCAAGACTAAACCCACCCAACCGACGATCACGAAACTGTACAGAATCGATCCAGCACCCCCTCACAATTCCATCACCAGCATCAATATGGAATCTCTCAGTCCCGAAGTGCTTCTATTAATCATACCTCATCTCTGCGAGGAACCCTGCATTCTCAGACTGAAGCCATGGCATCGACCATGGGAAACAACGCCTGTTTTAAACATCGCCTCATACGCGGCCATCTCCCGTTCATGGCAATACGCAGTCGAACGCTTTACGATGACGAATATCCACAAACACAGTTCTGATCTCCTCAGATTCCGTGAAATATTTTCTCTTCCACGAAGGAGGCAAACGCTACGACGTCTACATTATGAAATTGGTCTACCGGCCTACAGTGCAAATCAAGTCAGTCGTTTGGAGAGACAAAAGGAAAGAGACAAAGCCTTCGAGAAGGGTCTCATCGACCTTTTTGACGAGTTAGCGACATGGGACAAGCAAGGCATCTCCCTAACAGTCACAACTGCCTCGTCCATGGACCTTAGCCATCGGTCACTAGATTTAGACATAGGACTAAGACCTGGGTACCGGACTATGAGGGACATCTACCTTTCTTCAGACAATGCGGATCTACCAGAATTACCAAGCATCAGGTCCTTGTACATCCCTGACTTAGAACGGTATCTGTACCCCTCAGTGGTCGGTTGGATTATCTCTTCATCACCTAGGTTGGAAAGCCTAACACTGAAGCTGAACGCCCCCTCTCCGAACAAGGAGCTACAGAAGTATCGACTAGGTAAGTCTCCAACGTTCCTCAAGGGTATAAACTCACTCACCAGTCAGCCCTCGCCAAAGCGCTAGACTCACCGACCCTAAGCAACCTTAAGAACCTATATATCTCCTTCGAAGAGAGCATCCCCCTCAACCACAGCTATGAAACCCAGGACGAAGACCCAGTCTACCCAGATGGAGATGTGCTAAACCTGTCCCTCAGAAAGCTAGCAGAAACTGCCCCCCTCGAAAGTCTCATACTCACAGGATGGTGGCCAATTTCTCCTGCACTTTTCAATGGAACGGCATCATTCCCCTATTTACAGGATCTTCATATCGATGCAGCGACGCTAACCTACGATGGTCGATGGTATTACACGGGCGATCCCGATTCTGTGGATCCTCACTTTCAATTCGACACTGACGAGGATGAGGGTTCTGAATCGGACCTATCTATCATTCCGGAAGATACTGAAGCGGTCGATGGGCAGGGAGAAGCCGTTTTTTATGACGAAGAAGCTCAGCACCTGTGGAGAACTGTACCAGAACCTAAGATGTTTAATGCACTGATGAAGTCTATGGCTGAGGCTATGTATCGGATGCCTGGATTGTTGGGTCTGGAGTTTAGGATGAGGGTGTATCCTACGGGCGATCATGCAATTTCTTTGGAGTATTCTGCGACAGGCCATGTGCCGTGTGGAGATAGATGTCCTGATACACTGTCGCAATGGACAGCGAAGTGGGAGATACCCGGTGATATTTTAGAGCTGTGGAGAAAGCGTTTGGGTTGGGAAGGGGTTATTCTCTTGCAGGGTTGGTTGGCCCCGAGGCAATGGAGTTCATTATGTCTGCACAATGATGCTTAATACTGTCTGATTCGACCTATCGTTGTTGTTCCTATGAGATTTCTTCTCGCATAATCCTGTGGATAGATTCAAGTCACCTAAGCAGAATTGAACTAGTTTTCCCTTTCCATAGAGATTACAAGTATGCCAGACCACCTACATATTCGAAGATTGCACTAGGACTGTGGTAATTGGCTGAATTAACTATTGTAATGACGATGATAGGAATCCAAAAAGAAAAAAAGAAAAAGAAAAAAAAAAGGACAAGATACGTGTATAGATTCCATGACAGACTCTAAATGCACAGGCAAGAAAGACACAACAACGCAGCCAACCAAGTCCAGAGAATAGACCATCAACAACCATATTTATCCATGATTGCTCTAAACGAATGATCCTGTAGAAGCTCTGTTGCAGTCGGACGTTTCTCAGGGCAATAATTGAACACCTTAGACATGATAGAGTGCACATGTTCTCGCTCAACCGGATCAGCATTGGGACGATAATACGCAATGATGGCCGCAAGGTCATAGTTTGGATCGGGCGTCTGATGCTGGTCATACCAGGAATCAAGGCCTCCGGAGTAATTGTAAAGCCCCTTCCATTGCTCAGGTAGCGGACCTAAGCACTTGACCATACCAGTTATTACCCCACCCTCAAGCCAGGTGGCGAAAGGCGGATAGCCAAGGTAAAGCTCTGTGAAGATGGCCATGTAACTCCACATATCGCAGGCAAAACTTGGTTCTTTCTTATGAAGTCGGTCTGGGGAGCCGAATTGCATAGGCGGATACCCGGGTTGAAATGTGGGATCACCTACCTGCATCGCCAGACCAAAATCCCCAAGATAGAAGTCATCGGTACGTAAGGCCTCTGGGATTTGAATAGGCTGAACAAGCTCTCCCTGCTTCCAGAGGTCCACAAATGGTAGAACTTCCTTGAGCGGCCGGCCAAGTGCCTTATATTTAGCTTTTCTATTGAGGGTAGGCAGAGGAGCCATCCCCCACGTACAGTTCCCTGTCGTTTAGATCTGTCGAATATGCATTAGAATGCGAATCAACAGGAAAGTGGAAGACAGAGTTCACTCACCACGGTGTACAATGCCTGCTTTATGTAGATTTTCCCGGGCCCCTAGCAATTGCCGTGCAGCAGACATACGACTGGCCATGGACATTGTTCTCAGGATAGCAGGGTAGAGACATGGGCCCATCAAGGGTAATACTAGAACCCTACGATGGCACTTGTCACCTGGCAGCTGAAAGGTCGATTAAGCGCGTCACAAGGTGGGAGGTATCCTGCACATACTGGACGATTTTGTCTTGCATCTGGATTTCATTCTCCCCATATTCTCCCGAAGACATAACCTTGAGGGCTACGTCCCTATCGCTCTGAAGGTCACGGGCCATCCAGACAGTAGAGAAGCCTCCATGGCCGAGTTTATGCTCTACCAGATACCTTTCATTAAGCACTTCTCCAAGATAAACTGGATAGAAGACACGTGAAGTTTCCTTTATACTGTACTTCTCCCAGGGCTCGGCGACCTCTTCGAGATCAACCTCCTCGTCTTCAGTGCGCACAAAGTCGCCGGGGTCTTCTATTCCGTCGTCCTTTGCATCCGGGAGTGCTGCTGGGACGCTACTCGGGGGTGTTCCGATGCCAGCCATTCGGGATAAGTATGTATTGTTGCCAGAAAGAGCGGTGATGAGCTGGTTCGGGGAGCAAGGCGGGAGTGTTATCACGCGTGAGCTTGTTGGTCATAAAGGCCGCACGAACACTGCAGTATGGTGAGAGAAGAGATTGGTACGAGGGAATCTTGTCCGAAGTACACATATGTACTCCGTGCTGAACCGGTATGTTAATTTCTGTTTGGTGTCAGAAACTAGGTAGAATGGCTTGGAAGTACAGAGCGTGTCAAGTTGGACAACAACAAATCATTTGGAGACATACTACTCCGTATTCCCTAATCAAGTAGCCTTTTCTGAGTCCTAAGAACTAGTTCCTATCGGGACTTTGCTTTAAAAACTTGGGCGGATGTGGGCTTGGTAAGGTCCTGAAATGCCAAAGTTGATGCAGCGCTTGGTGAAACAGGGCAGATTTGTTTGATCATGGGATTTTAGCTTTTATAGCGTGGATTCGCAGCACAATTCAACAATCATCCGATGTGGTGTAATGGCTAACATCGCTGTCTCTCACACAGCAGCTCGGGGTTCGATTCCCCGCATCGGAAGCATTTCTTTTTGTTTTGTTGTCGTCCAACTTTAGTTGTTCCATTTTTCAGGCTGGTCTTCCATTCCATTTTCTTTTTCAACACATTGTCGCTAAGCTATACTGGCATATACATGCTCATATCATGGTTTCTAACAATTGCTATAATTACTCCTTACATCAGCAGGTGATAACAGTCTCCATACAGCATGTCAAAGAAAGAATATCTCTCCATCAGAAAGTACCACAATGCCTCATCACAAATCCAACAGATACACGAAGGGAGGAGGGAA